CGGCTTTTTTCTTTCTGCTTATGTGGTGCTGAGGAATCGAACCCAGGGCCTCATGCATGCAAGGCAAGCACTCTACCACTGAGCCACCTTCCCAGCCCAGGCTTTACATCTTTACGGAAAATAAAGTACAGTTGAATTCAAGGTTAAATATAAAACAGAAAACTTTAAAATACACTAGAAGGGCTAGGAAGGTGGCTCAGTGGTAGAGTGCTTACCTTGCATGCATGAGGCCCTGGGTTTGATTACTCAGCACCACATAAGCAGAAAAAGCCAGAAGTTGCACTGGGGCTCAAGTGATAGAGTGCTAGCCTTCAGCTGAAGAGCTGAGGGACAGCGCCCAGCCCCACAGTTCAGGCCCCACAACTGACAAAATAAAATATACTAGAAGATGGGAAGAAGGTAAAGATCAGGAGGATCACAGTTCAAGACCAGCCCAGGCAAAACAGCAAGACTTCATCTCAATAAAACAAGTTGAGTGTGTCTACTATTCTAGCTATGGAAGAAGCATAAGCAGAAGGCCAGCCAAGCCAAAATAGGTGAGACTGTATCTGAAAAATAAGCTAATGCAAAAAGGACTATCATACATATCAGAAACCTTAAAAAGATGGATTACACAGTGATTCCAATTCTACAAAATTTCCAAGGACGTAATATGGACAAGTGAATACTCCTTGCAATGTCGTAAGAACAAAAGAAACTAAAACCAACCTAAATGTTCAATCAAAGTTTGGTTCAGTAAATTAGGGCACAAACATTTATTTAAATATCATCATTGTGATATAGATTTATTAAGTGTAAATATATTTTACTAGGTGAAAAAAAATCAGGCTACAACAGTACATCATTTTTGTAATTAAGAAATAACATACCTGAGTATATAAAAGTTACTGAAAGCCTAGAGTTTTCTCAAATGTTTAGAGTAGTTGGTAAGCCTAACTGAAAATGTTATCTATGTATTGATTCAGTATTTCCTGTTAGATATCTTAATAGGTACATTAAGCTTAATATATTCAAAATGAATGGAAGTGGCTCTGTGGTTCAAGTGGTAGAGTGTTAGCTCAGGGACAGCACCCAGGCCCTGAATTCAAGTCCTAGGACTGGGGGAAATAGATATAGATATAAGTAGATACAGATAGATCTATATGTATATATTCAAAATGAGTTCCTAACCTTCCCCTTCCCCTGATTGGGCATGAGGGAGATCTTGTTCTCTCTTAAACTTTACTATTCACTTAATGGTTCCATTCTTTCCACTGTACAAGCTTGCAGTATTCTTTGATTCTTCTCTTTGTCACAATGCACAGCAAATCCACCAGCATATCATAATTCTATCCTATAGCATCACTTTCTTCTCTTGTATACTTTGTCCTCCTGAGACTTTACAACCTATGACCATACTACACAATTGCTTGCCTGTCTTCTCAAAGATTATAAGTCCACTTGCTGCAGCTACTAATATACCTTCCTTAAATCACTGCAGGTAAAAACAGAAAGTAAAGAAAGAGAAAAAGGGAAAGTGAGAAATAAGTATAGAGGAGAAGGGATAGGAGAGGAGGAGAGAAAAGGGAGAAATGGAAGGGAGGGGAAAGAGGGAAAGTTTACATAAGCTACAATCCTTTTACTAATAAAACAAAGTTCTGGGCTGAGAAGTTGGCTCAGTGGTAGAGCGCTTGCCTTGTATGCCTGAGGCCCTGCGTTCAATTCCTCAGCACCACATAAGCAAAAAGAAAAAAGCTGGAAGTGGTGCTGTGGCTCAAGTGGTAGAGCACTAG